CAGAAGAAGGGAGGGGAGAGGGAAGGAAAGCGTGCAAAGGGCCCAGAAGCGACTCCCGTTCTCTGCTGGTTGAGAGAAGAGGAGCCGGGGCGGAGCGCAAGCCTCAGGGTTAGCAAATTGCACCGGGGGGGGGAGCAAAGATGGGGGGCGGAAGACCCTGAAAGAGAGAGAAACCCTCTTCATGCATACCCCAAATCTCAACCTCTCTCTCTCTCTCTTTCTTTTTTTAAAAGTGATCTTTATCAAAGCAAATTGAAAAGCGCGTTTCTAGTCCTCATGGCCGGAAAGGAAGAGGACGACAAAGACGGTCAAGGAGGCCCCAACCCAAATCCAACTTTGGGTTTCTAAATGCCAGGCAGGATAAGGGATGGAAACAGCTGTTTCGTTTCGCCCTTTTTTTTTTTTTTTTTTAAGAAAAAGCTCTTTTTCTAGCACGTATTCAAAGGGAGTAATGCAAGTTAGCGCGATAGCAAACATTTTAAAAATAAATGCAACGCGCTGGGCTGACCTGGTTTCGTTGCCGACGTTTGCACAAGTCCCGGAGGGGAGCCAGACGCAGTAGGGATCCCGGGAAGCGAGGCAGCTCCTGCAACGAGAGGGAGGAGGGGAAATGCCTGCCCCCCCAAGAACTGTGTGGAGAAATCTGCTCCACAGGGTCGTTATGAGCATCAACCCCCACGTTCCTCGGGGGGCGGGCTTGGAAGATAAAGCACATCTGAGAGGGGGAGAACGGCTTGGTTCCCAGCTCTCGGTCACCGCGGAGCCTCCAGAGGGAGGCACAGTCTATCCCGGAGCTCCACCAAGTTCTTCCTCCGAACTCCGAAGCCTAGAAACGGCGGCCACGATTCGGCACATTCCAGACCACAGGAATATTCCAACTCTAGCACCCCCCTTGGCTAAAATATCTGGATTTGGTAGAGGGGAAGATGCTCTGCTTCGCCTGGAGCAAGAGAACCCAACCGACTGGGCTGTAATGCTGCTTTCCGCAGGCCCGGGCCCTCAAAGCAATTCACAGGATGGCCCCGTGGCTCCCCCTGGACCACACCTTCCCCAGCGCCAACGGCCCCCCTTCCCAGGACCCCCCCTTGCCCCCACGGCTGCCACAGCAGGAAGAGATGTGGGTGCCCTCGACCCTCCTACCTCCGGCAGGTGCTGTGGGACCCGCAGCGGCTGAGGGGCATCCGTACCACGCAGCCGGAGAAGGCCACGTAGAGGGCGTGGTTTGCCTTGTCCAACTCCAAGCCCAGGACCTGCCGATCCTCGCGCTTCACGCTACACCTGTGCAGGAAAGGAGAGGGCGGCACGGGTGAATTCTCCCACTCTTGCCAAGCTTCTGGCTGCTCGCCTGTGACCGTGTGCCAGCCCAGTGCATGGCAGTGGGAAATCTAGCATTAAGAATAATTCTATCTATCATCTATCTATCTATCTATCTATCTATCTATCTATCTATCTATCTATCTATCTATCCATCCATCTATCTATCAATCAATCAATCAATCATGTATCTATCAATCATCTATCGGATACCTCTATCTATCTATCTATCTATCTATCAATCAATCATGTATCTATCAATCAATCAATCAATAATCATGTATCAGATACCTCTATCTATCTATCTATCTATCTATCCATCTATCTATCAATCAATCAATCATGTATCTATCAATCATCTATCGGATACCTCTATCTATCTATCTATCTATCTATCAATCAATCATGTATCTATCAATCAATCAATCAATCAATCATGTATCAGATACCTCTATCTATCTATCTATCTATCTATCCATCTATCTATCAATCAATCAATCATGTATCTATCAATCATCTATCGGATACCTCTATCTATCTATCTATCTATCTATCAATCAATCATGTATCAATCATCTATCGACCTCTATCTATCTATCTATCTATCTATCTATCTATCTATCTATCTATCTAT